TGGTGCAGTGCTGTGTTTTGGCTTCAGTCTGAGAATAACTCTGCTAACACACTGATGGTTTAGCTGCTGCTCAGTAGCACTTACCCTGATGAAGGCTTTTTCAGTCTCTCATGCTCTGTCAGTGAGGAGGGGCACAAGAAGCCAGGAGGAGCAGAGCAGGACACCTGACTTAAACTATCCAAAGGGGTATTCCATCCCACAGCACGTCATGTCCAGTATAGAAACAGGGGGGTTGTACCCAGAAGGGACTGATCGCTGCTTAGATCAGGCTGGGTATTGGTCAGCAGGAGCTGGACAATTGTATTGTGCAGCACTGTTGCTTATTGTTTTTCTTTCCCTTTTAGTTTATATTCTCTCCCCTTATTTCTCTTATTATAATTAGTAGTAATATATTGTACTTTAGTTATTAAATTGTTCTTATCTCAACCCATGGGGTTTACATTCTTTCAGTTCTCCTTCCCATCCTGCCTGGAGAGGGGAAGAGGAGTGTGAGTGAACAACTGCATGGTGCTGAGTTACCACCCAGGCTTAAACCATGACACTTGGGTAAATTTAACAATTGTTTGAATTTGGTTAGACATGAAGTGCAGAAAAGGAATACTCATACCAATAATGTAATTATTATGGCAGATGACATTTGAAAGACTTCAGACAAAAACCCACCACAGAAACACTGAAATACCAAAAAGAGAAGCGCAGGTTGACTGGAATTCTCATCTCCCAGAACATGTCCACAGCTCATGTCCAACCAAGAAGAAAGGAGTAAGAAATTAAATCTGTTGTTAACACTCAATCAAACTGTCCAAAGTAAGCAAGTGCCCCCATCCTCTCCAAGCTTTTACAAAGCCAAGGGCGTGACACCTACCACCTTACAGATTTCTGTTTGGTCATCTGTCCCAAACGCTTGAATGAGATCTTCCTTCTTCGCCACCTGGCCTTTGGAAACGTTGACAAACACCGTGTGTGTCTGCAGGACCTCGTCAAGGTCTTTCTCCCTGGAGATGAGGCAAGGTTAGAAAACGCGTTAAGCCACAACCTGAGAGCGAGCGCACGAGTTGCCAGCGAGGAGGAACAAGTGCTGCTGCCCAGGGCTGAACCCGTGGAGCCCGGGAGCTCCCGTGACCCAACCGTCACTGCCAGAGAAGGGCAGAGGCACCGCAGAGCCCCGGGGCGCTGGCGCTGCCCCTGCCCGGCTCCACACCGGGACCTCCACGGGTCTCCCCCGCAGCGGGCCCCGGCAGTGCCGGCCGTCACTCACGCTCCGCTGCGCCATCCCAGGACCTTGTTGCGGTAGCAGGCGATCTCGAAGCGCTTCCCGCCGCGCCGCGCCCGCACCACGGCCACGTTCGTGAGGCGGATCTGGTTCGTGGGGGTGAAGATAGACATGGCGGCTGCCGCGGCCGCCGTACGAGCAGGCGCACTCAGGACCCAGAAGCAGCTGCCTCCCCATTGGCCGAGGCAGCCCCACTCTGCCTTTCTATTGGCAGGAGCTCCTCCACGCTGTCTCCCCATTGGCGGCCCTAACTCCTTCCCCGCCTCCCCATCGCTCCCGCAAGGGAGCTTCCGTAGGGAGGAGGGGGCCGGACGGAAGCGGCGGCGCATGCGCTGAGTGCGGGTGGCTCCGGCGGCGCGGGGGATGCGGGGGTAAGCACAGAGCCATGGGGCGGTTACGTGACAGTAGCGCAAATCCCATCAGTCGGTGTCATCCTTAAAATGAAGGTGTCCGAGCGACCACACACCGTAAAAACACTATTACAGCTAAAATTAAAGACAGTGTTCCCTGTATGAGCACACCTGGGTGCTGCTGACGCTGGGGTGTCACGGGGTGGCAGTGGCACAGCCACCATGGGATGGGTATGCATTCATTTGGATGCCAGCATGGAGGATCAGCTCCTGGCTCTGGACCCCGGTGCACGTACAGGCTGATCCTGCAAAGCCATCCCAGCCTTGCAGGGTTAGGGGTGACACCTGAGGTGCTGCAGCATCTCCCTGCATCACCCCCATCGTCTCTCACCCAAGGTGCCCTCCCCGCCACCACCATTCACATCTCCTGCTGCTGCAGTGCGTCATGCAGACAGTGGAGATCATGGTGGACAATGAGGAGAAGGGTGTCAAGCTGCTCTGAGTATCATGGACATGCCAGGCTTTGGTGATGCCATCAACAACAGTGGGTTGATGTGGAGGCCCCCTGTGGAGGGTCTCCCCAGGGATGGGCACCACCACTGTGGTGCCCCAAAAGTCCTAAACCACATCCTGCTAATCTCAAGGGCAAAACAAAGTCCAGAACTTCCCAACACAGCCCAGAGGCCCAGGTGATGGGATGGCTGTGCTTCCCTCCGCAATTCACTTCCAGCAGCATTTTGCCACCCACTCCTGGTCACATCCCGTTTGCCACCACTGAAGCACTTGCCCCATTTAGACCTTCCCAACTCACTGGCAGCGACGTGGACTGCTGGCTCATTACCTCCTCTTGTTCTCTTGATCACTTCCCAAAGCCTGGTTGTCCTCCTACTGCAAGGGCCTCTTCCTGCACTCCTTGATGGCACTGAGCACCGTCTCTTTGGCGCAGGGGTCTGGGCTGCTTTTGTCCTGGAAATTCATGTCCCTGTTCCATCAGTACCCCTGTTCCCCCTGGATCCCTGACAGCCACTGTGCCTGTGCCACCCCTGTCCCTATCCCACCCTTGCCTCTCTGCCCTGCCAGGAGGCACCATGGCAGGGACGATGACATGGACCACACAGAACATGATTCCCCTGAGCACCTCCCTAGCCATGACTCCCATGGGCCACCCAGCAGCAGGACCCTTGTGCCATGGCCCTGCCGAGGGGACCCTGCAGCCCAGCTGAGGAGGGCAGGGCTGTCTGCATGGCCCCTCTGCAGCATTACCTCACCAGAGAGGGAGCAGGCTGGGGGGAGGCCAAAGCCACCCCTGCTCCTCAGGGCTGAGCAGGGACCACATCCTGCTCACCCGCACAACACACAACAGAGGTGATGTGCGCGGTGGCCCTGAGCACGGAACTAGGAAGGGGACATCATCGCCCAGGTCACCTTGACAGCTTCTCCCCAGGCCATTTTTTCAGAGTTTTCTGAGCACACCCATCGGGTCAGAGCCCCAGGACCCCCATGGGGACACAGGCTCCTGCCACCCACTCCGGAGCCGCAGAGCTGGGCTGAAGGCTTTATTGAAAAATTGAAAACACACAACGTAGTAATTATTATACAATGGAAAAAAAAGTAATTAATCAACCCAACGTGCAGAGCAGGGGCACCCCCACTGTCCCCAGCACCAGCCACTAGTGCTGGAGACTGCAGGGGGGCCACCCTCCCTCCACCAGCACTCAGCCGAGATACAAAAAGGGAGTTCGGCCAAGAGAATGGTGCCACCATCCCCGAGCCCCCACCACAACCCCCTCATCATCCCCAGCCCCAACCTGGCCTGGAGGCCTGAGGTAGTTGGGGGTACCCTGCACAGGCAAGACACCTCCCCAAAAAGAGGGGGGAGGGTGTTGGGGCTCCTCGTGTCCTGCAGGAATGGGGTGGTTGGTATTTTATCTGGAGGGAGCTGGATAGGGGCATGTCGAGGCAGAGGGGGGCCGGGGGGAGCCCCGAGTGCCTCCTGGCAGGCAGGAGCATAGGGCAGGTGTGCTAGAGGTGGGGCTGGCTAGAGCACACGGGGGCACTGGGTCCCGGCATGGTGGACGGTTGCGCTATCCTGTGCGTAGGAGGTGACAGCCCTGAGGCTGTGGTGATGGCCTGGCTCGGCAGGGGGATGCTAGCGGGTCCCACTGCTCAAGGGCCAGCCAAAGGCAGCACATGGTGACAGACCAGCCACCACTTTCTAAAGGGAGACTAAGGCCAAACGCTGCACCCCCAGCACTCCCAGGGGGCTGGTCTGGCTGTCTCACCCCCAGGAAGGGGCAGCTGCCTGAAGGCAGGGTGCAGGCAGCAATGCTGCCAGGCTGGGAAGGACACCCTGGCCCTGCAAGGGACATGGGCAAGACCGTGGGGGATGGGGTCATCGCTGCGCAGTCTGATGCCACTGTCCCTGCTGCAGCGAGATGAGCTGGGGGGCCCGAAGCTGGCAGAAGCCCCCTGCCCTCCGAGCCCCCTGCTCCAAGGCACAAAGGTTCCCTAGCTGGTGCCAGCCCCACAGCAACGCCAGCACTGATCCCCCTTGCACCAAAGCGGGTGGTGAGTACACAGAGGCAGCACCAGCCCGGAGGGAGTGGGCACAGGCAGCTGCGTGCTCTGGCTTGGGGTGCTCTGGTTTTGGGCACCCTGTCTGCCCCCCAAACCCTGTATGTTACTGCCCTATAGCCATGCCCCATCCACAGGAGCCGGTGGCTTGTGCGGTGGCACTATGGTTGTCCAAGCCCCTGCCCAGCACCTTGCGTAAGGGTTTATTGCTGGCATTAACACAGTGATCTATTGGGGCAGGGCAGCCCAGCTCCGGGACAGGACGAGGGGACACGTTCTGGGGACCCAGATACTCTGCAGTAACCCTCCCGCTGCCTGCCCTGTTCCCTGCTGCTGATGCTGCCAGCACCTTGGTTACCCTGTCCCATGGGCATGCTCCCACCCACCCTGCATGAGCCAAAGGCATTCGGTGCCCCGCTGGAGGGGAGCACACCTAGCACCAAGCCAGCAGCACCCCAAGAGTGGCACCCCGGGGCCCTTAACAGGCCCCTTCACAGCGGGGGGATGCTTGCACTGAGCCAGGGACTGGGTTAAGGCTGGAAAAGCAGCGAGAGGCAAAAGAAACCCGAGCGCTCTCGCTCAGCCCGAGCCGGTTCAGAGTTCCAAAAATCTGTGCAAAAACAAAATGAAAGGGTTAAAGCCCCCCCAGTGGTCCCCCAACCCCAAGCAGCTCTGATAAATACACATGCGGTTTGCGGCTGGTGGCGGGCTGGCCAGCCCTCGCTCCTGCCCCAGCAGCTCCCGGTGCTCTGGCGCTGGAGGCGGCTCCTGGCAGGGGGATGTGGAGGACATGTGCTTCGGGGTGGCTTTTGCACCGGTTTATTGTGGATCTTCCCAAAAGGCTGCACCGAGCTGCATCCTGGCTGCCCGCAGGGGTGTCCCCTGCAACTGCTTCTGCCACTGGGGCTAATCTGCTGCTGAAGGGGAACAAAGAGGGTAAGGGGGTGAAAAGGAACATGGTGCCCTGCAGCATCCTTGTGCATGAGCCCTCTGGGACTCCTCACTGGTTTGCAGGACAGCAGAGCCCAAGGGTGATGCAGGCTGGACCAGGTTCAAGGCCAGGTTGGACGGGGCTTGGAGCAAGCTGCTCTAGTGGAAGGTGTCCCTGCCTGTCGCACGGGGTTGGAACTGAATGAGCTTTAAGGCCCTCCCAACCTAAACCAGTCTAGGATTCTATGTGGGTCCTCCAGGCTCTTGCACAGTTCAGGGTCTCCATGGCTTTGCCCCCATGTGCCAACTACCCAGACACCAGTTGTGTCCGCTGGAGTGAAATCCCTGCCTGGACTGTGGGCAGAGCTTCCCCATCCTCCCCTGCTCCTTCCCAGAGCAGCTTCCTGGCTGGACCAGGCCTGGGATGCACTCACCGTCCTCCCAGCCCTCTGCCACTCCTGCCAGCTCGTAGTGCTTCTTGCGCAGCTCTCCCAACTTCTGCCGCTCCTTCTGCAGCTGGTTTTCCAGCTCCAGCACCCGCACCTGAAGGTTGTCACACTCGCCATGGCCACCCTGTGCCCTGGCACAGCAGCCGGTGCTCTGGCTGGCATGAAGCCATGCTGGGCGGGGCACCCCTTTCACACCCGGTATCTCCCCGTAATGAGCACAAAGACCACTGTGGTTCACGCCATGAGTGTTCCAATGGCAAGTGGTCAGTCCTGGGGATGGGATTCAGCTTGGGTGGACACTGCCTGCAGGCACCCTGGGAAAGGAACCTCCCCAGGGCTGCCCCATGGCACGCAGAGGTAGGTGCTGTGGGGCAGCCCAGTGGGCACACGAGGGCAGGGGGAGGCCACAGGCTGTTGTGCCACGATGGGGACAATACCGGGTAAGGCTCAAGGACCAACTGCATGTGACTCCTGGGCAAACCCATCTGTTGCCTTCATACCATGGAGTTTCCCTGCGAGTTGGGCCTAGGCATCTGGGCAGAGTGACACCCCCAACCCTCCAGCCCTTGCAGCCTTTCATTAGCCCGAGCAAGGCACCACATTTCCCAAAACACGGAGTAACCTCCTACCTGTGAATCCATCTCCTGACGCTTGATCTGGGTGAGCGTCATGCTGGAGAAGTCCATGCTCTCTGTGGATAAAGACACCATCAGCCCCCCTCGAGTGCTCCTCCCCAGCTCAGAACCCCCAGCAGCTCCCATGCTGCTGTCAGGGTCTGCCACCATGGCATGTGCAGGCAGTGACCAAGGGACAGCCACACGCAGAGACCACCAGAACACAGCCAACTGAAGAGGCGAGCGCAAAGAGCCGAGGTTTCAGGGCAGGTCTATGCTCCTGCGGCCCCACGCTCACCTTTCTCCTCCACCTGTGACTTCCCGGCCTTGGTGGAGGCCACCACGCTGGCTGTGGCCTGGTTGACACCCCGTGAGGCTTGCTGGAGCTTGCAAAGGTTGGCGCTGTCTTTGTCTGCCTTCACCTGCATGGGCAGTGAGAAGGGCTGTGCTTGCACGCTGCCAGGGATGGGGCAGCCACGGCTTCTCTGGGCACCCTGTGCCAGCGCCTCAGCACCCTCACAGGGAAGAGCTTCTGCCTAAGAGCTCATCTCAGTCTCCCCTCTGGCAGGTTAAAGCCATTCCCCCTCCCTTGACCCTGGGACATGCAGGCCCGCAGGACACAGTTGGTTTCTGGGCTCCAGAGTGCAGGCAACAGCAGGAGAGCTCCTTGATGTCCCTACCTTGGAGGCTGCCACGAGCTGGGCAGTGCTGGCTGCAATCTCTCGTGAGCAGACCATCAGCTCCTCGAAGGTGCCCTTGCCTTGCACCACCAGGTCAGCAGCATCGCTGCAGGAGGGCAGAGGGGCTGGAGCATCCTCCTGCTACCCCGTCCCCTCCCTATAGGGACAGCAGGACCCTGCCACCCCTCCCCACTCTGGCAGCAGCGGCACTTACACCATGACAGTGGCACCCCAGCCCACAGCCTTGGAGGCGGAGATGAGACCCTCTGTCCAGCGGGAATTCTTGGCATAGAACTCCTTGGGGGATGCCGCACCCTATCATCAGGAAAGGCATGGTCACAGGTGGGGGACAGGGAGGTGGCAAGGCCTGGAACTCCTAAACCCCTGCTCATGGGGAATGGAGTAAGTAAGGGCTTCATTTAGGATGTGCATGGGAACTGGGAACCCTGAATCCAGGGAGTGATAGGGTCCCCTACATGGAAAGGGAGATCGGGGACCTCTGTGACAACCTGGGGACCATGGCCAGGGCAAGACCCTGGGCTGGGGCTGGAGCTCCTGGCAGCCAGTGTGGCCTAACCAGTGGATCAAGGCTGGGAGCAGCACACCCCAGCAAGAGCATGGTGGCTCCAACTGGCCCTGTGCCTCACCCACATCCCTGCCCGCACTCCTGCCCACATCCCCAGCTCACCCGTCCACTCTCCACAATCTCTCTCTGGAGGTCCTTGGAGGCCAGGACCAGGACGCGGATGGCCTGCATGAGGCCTGTGCAGGAGCCCAGGATCCTGTGAGACAAACACCACTGAGCCCCACTTGTGGGGCAGGGAGATCCCTAAGCTATGGGGCAGCTGCTCTGCGTGTGGCACTGGGCCACATCCTGCTCACCTCTCATTCACTTCCAGTTTCACTCCAGTGTCACCAGCCCGTGCCTTGCTCAGCATCTCCTGGTAAAGGGGAGAGAGGTTGTGCAGAGCCCTCTGCCATCCTGGCCTCGTGCTGGTAGTCCTGGCAGACACAGCACCCACGGGTGCCTCATGGCATGCGGCAACCCTTACCTCGATGCGGGCAGCTGCTGTTTCGATGGCTGCTGCTGTTGCTGCCATCTCCTTGTCCACCAAGTCACCCAGCTCCTCCTGCTTGACATCCAGCCCTCTGGGCCGCAGCTCCTGGGGATGGGAGAGGACAAAAAGGACCGTCCAAGGCCGGCATAGCCCCTCTGGCAGTGCCCGCCACAGCCTGACCCCATCCCACCAGCCCTCCTGGGCACCCACCTCCCCGATGGCACTGATACGTCCCAGGCAGATCGTCAGCAGGCTGCAGTCAGCACCTTTCACCTTGCCCGGGTCCTGCAGGGCACTGAGGTAGCTCACGGCCTCGCTGCTGCACTGCTTGCACGCCTCCAGCAGACCTGCAAGGGCAGCACGACAGGCTGGGGGTACCGCAGGCAGTGACGGAGACAACCAGCCCCTGCCCCCCCCACCTGCCCCAGCTCCTGCTCGCCACAGCCCCTGCCTGTCCCAGCCCCTGTCCCCCCGCCTGGTCAGCAGCACTTACGGTCAGCGGGCTCCATGGGGGCCAGGTGGGAGGTCGCACTGCCCTGCAGGATGGTGTCACTGACGAGGTGGGCAAACAGGGCCAGGGTGGGCAGCAGGGAGCCAATGGCTGCAGTGGGACAGGGGCACATGCCTCAGCCCCCGTGGGTGCTGCCCACCCAGCCCGAAAGTGCTGCAGCTGCCCCTTTCCCCCAGCCCAGCCCCTGCTGGCTCCCACCTGTGTGGTCAGAAACGTATTTGCTGTGGGCATCCTGCAGCCTCTCTAGGCACTCGGAGGCTGCCAGTGTCCTGGACAGGAGGCAATCTGCAGGCAGACAGCAGGCAGGACTCAAACGCAGGGATTGCTGCTGGCACGGCCCAGAGGACAGCAGAGAGTGGGGCTTGGCGTGGCAGCAGGTTGGGATAACGCCAGGTTTGGCGAGCCCCCAGGGAACTCACCTGCCGAGCCGGTGCAGGCCATGTGGGCAGGATCCTCCAGATGGCTGAGGGCATCCTGCACCATCCGCTTGGCCTCCTGCGCGGTGCCCTGCAGCAGGGCAAACTGCTCCTCAGCCACGTGCTGCTGCAGCGCCTGCTCCTTGCTCTCCTGCAGAACCACAGTGGGGGTCATGGACTGGAAATCCAGTTCGTGCTGGTTGGTAGTCACCCCCATGCCCTGCGCTGCCTCCAGCTCTGCTGGACCCCATAGCATGGCAGGGAGGGAGATGCTGGGATGCCCCTGGAGTACCTTGTCTCTCAGCTGGGCCTGCAATATCTCCAGCTCCATCCTGCTGCTCTCCTGCTCACGGCCAAGCCTGTCCCGCATCTGCTGCAGCTCAGCATGCAGGGCAGCCACCTCCTCCCCATGCCGCTCCGCTGCCCGGCTCAGGCTGTCCCTCTCCTGCTCCAGGCCAGCGATTCGGGTGCTCTGCTCTGCTCCCACCTGCGTTGGCACAAAGCAGTAGGGGCTGAGCCAAGGGTGAACCCTCCAGGCTGGGGACTTGGTCATGGTCCAGGCTTGGGTCACCCCAACTGTCCTTGCTTGGTGCATCGCAGCCCATGCAGGTTGCAGCTTTGTATCACCCACTCCCTGGCAGCACCCCTGCAGCACCGATGGCCTTGTCTGGGGCCAGCCAAGGCTCCCTGGAGAGCCCTTTCACTTTCGTCAGTGAAACCACTGCTATGATGACTGTCAGCATCCTGATGGAGGAGTGGATGAAAGGTGGTGGCTGCGAGCTCCAGCTCTGCCCCATCCCTGTCCCACTGCATTCTCCTGCCATCTTCTGCCTTCTGTAAGGAGCACGGAAGCCCCTGCTGCCCTCCAGAGCTTCATGAGCATGAAACACCCTCTGGCACAGCAGTGAGCCTGCCAGTTTTGCAGTGGGCAGAGCTGCCTCCCCTGATCCTGCTCTGGCAGGGGTCTGTTTAACAATCCCTGCTGCTGGAGGCCGTTGCATAGCATGCTCTTGCTTCCAGGAATCTTTAACTCCCTGCATTTCTCAGCCCCAAAGCATTAAACTCACCTAGGTGCGAGGAAGGAGAAGACAGGGAGTTGGTTATCTCCCTGCTGGGAGTAGGCCAACCGTGGGTAACACCTCTGGGATGGGGACACCTCACGCAAGCAGTGACAGCAGGCAGACCATGCAGGGCCACCCTTGGACTCTCACCTGTGTGCTGGACTCCAGTGTGCCCTGGAGGACCTGCAGCTCCTGTCTGCTGGCTGCCAGCTCCCTCTTCAGAGTGTCCAGCACTTCTGCCTGCTCCTGAGACTGCCAGCAAGAGGAGAGGCTGGCACCAGAGCCCCGATGGGGAGCTCCCCCAGCCATTCCTGGCATGTCCCCTGCTCAGTTCCCACTCACCTTCCTCTGAGCCTGCTCGCTCACCCGCTGGAAGGAGTCCTCCAGCTCCTTCTTCTCCCGCTCCACATCTCCCTGGGCCTGCCTGGCTGCTGTCACCTGCTTGGTCACCTCTGCGTTCTGGTGAGGGCAGAGGAGCTCAGCAACCCCTGGTGTCACGGGGCACGGCTGAGAAAAGGGGACACCAGGGTGCGTTTGGGTAACCCACCTTCCGCAGGAGGTCAGCATGGTTCTGCACCAGCTCGCTATACTTCTCCTTCAGCTTGCTGTAGCGCTGTTCATTGGCCTGTGCCCGCCCTGCCCCACACACAGGGACACGGGTGAGCACCAGGACTCCTGCCCTGTAGCTCACCTTGACCCCGAGCCGAGCACTGGCTCTCCCTCCTCACTTTCAATCTCCGTCAGGCTCCTCTGTGCCTTCTCCGTGTCCTCCCGCTGCTTCTTCAGCTCCTCCAGCTCCGTGCGCAGAAACTCACTCTCATCCTGCGCCTGCTGCTTCAGGTGCTGCTGCTCGGCCAGCTCAGCTTCCAGCTCGCTGGCGCGACCGCGCAGCTGCATCATGCCCCGTGCGCTCTGCAGAATGGCAGCCGGCAGCTCCCAGAGCCTTTCCATGGCTGCCAGTGCTGCCCCACGCCTGCCAGTACTGTCCGGCAGACACCCCATGGGTAGCACCCCACAGTGCCCCAAGTGCACTGGGGTGAAGCAAGGAGGATTCTGGGCAATGGGGGTGAGCCTGGCCCCTCCCAGCAGGGACACAGATCCTCTGGCACACCTAGGGACCCCCTGTAATGGCAGGGATGGCAGCACCAGGGACACAGAAACAGGGACAGGGCAGGACAGACAGTAGTGACAGGAGAAGAGGAATGGCTTTACCCTGCCAAAGGGGAGACTGAGATGAGCTCTTAGGCAGCTCTTCCCCATGAGGGTGCTGAGGTGCTGGCACAGGGTGCCCAGAGAAGCTGTGGCTGCCCCATCCCTGGCAGTGTTCAAGGCCAGGTTGGACACAGGGGCTTGGAGCAAGCTGCTCTAGTGGAAGGTGTCCCTGCCCGTGGCAGGGGTTAGAACTGGATGAGCTTTAAGGTCCCTTCCAACCTAAACCAGGCTCTGATTCTATGACAGTGTCACTCCTTGCCCATCCGGGGACACAGCCATTACCCCATCAGCCTCATTCCCAACATGAGCTGCTGGGTCTCATCTTGCCCCTGGACCTCCCACATGGATGCTCTCTGCATCACAGGATGGTTGTTACCCACCTCAGCCTTGAAGCTCTCCAGCTCCTCCTTCAGGGCTGCAATCTCCCCATAAAGCTGCTCGATTAAGCGGTCCCTGGGAAGGAGACACCAGGTACATGCTCCACCCACGCTGCCTGGGATGGAGGTGTCCCCTCGGCCACCATGGTGCCATGCTGGGAGCTCCTAATCCAATCCTGGCTGCCTCCATGGCGTAAGACCAACTGCTTACTTGTCATCCTTGTTCATCCCATTCTGGCTGTTGAAGTTGAAGGGGTCACTGCCCAAAGAGCTGCCGAAGATGTCGTCAAACTTACTGTCAAACAGGCTCTGAAGGGAGAGCAGCAGGGACCTGGAGTGAACCCAGCACTGCCCCGGAGCCCTCGTCCCCTCCATATCCCTGGCAGCACCACCAAGCCCAAGTGCCAGCAGGGCTGCTGCCTGCTGGTGCTGCTGTGACACTGGGGCTGGATCCTCCCCGCTGCTACCAGGGTACTGAACATGTTGAACATATTGAACATGAATCATCTCTGATCTGTCCCCACTCCTGGGGTGGGGATGGGCCCCATAAACCATGTCACTGTACGCCTCTTCCCCTCCCAGAAATGCTCAGTGCCAGGAGACAGCTCTTGGTGGAGAGGGGAGTGAGGACCTAATGCAAGCATGCAGCACAGAGGGGCAATGCTAGGAAGCCAAACATCTCCAGCCAGCCATCACTGTAGGGCACCAAACCACGAAGAGAAGCACTCCCAGATGACTAGAGCCTGGCTTAGACTGTGCAGCACCCACATGTGGCACCCAGTGCCAACAGGTCCCGCTGCAGCGATGCTCTGCAGTGCCCAAGGCCATCCCCACTGTCCCAGCTGTGACCATGGTGTGGTTTTGGAGAAACAACCCTGGTCTGGGAGCCAAAGGGCACCTGCCATCCCCTCTGCAGCCTGGGGTGCACGGGCAGTGCTGTGGCAGCTCACCTGTGAGGCTGTGTCCATCTCCACCAGGTCCGTGATGGGCTCACTGTCAGGTGAGGATGCCTCAGCGGGGATGACCACCACAGGGCTGATGTGCTCTGACAGTGCGGAGGCACGCAGGAAGTTGGGGGGGTTCTGGGGAGAAAGGGGAGTGTGGCTGCTGCGGAGAGCACTGGCACTGCCGCAGGGCTTCAGGCAAGGCTGGTTGAAATCCTGCCCCAGTGCTGAGCTGGCTGTGCCCTGACCCATGAGAACAGCGGCAGCACCTGCAGGGATGGAGCCAGGACGCACAGGACAGATCCCGGCAAGGGCTGAAGGCCACTGTGAGAGGGGCGTCCCAGCCCTCGGCTGGAGAGGCAGCTCCATCCCTCAGGATCCCACCCAGAGGGATGCAGGATGAGCCTCAGACCCCAGAAGCCACACATTGCCACTGGCCTCAGGAAACAAGGGAAGGCAGCAGCTGACACCCTTTGGGCACTGTCCCAGGGCCACCAGCCCCATTGCTGCTCCTGGCCATGGGGGCAGCAAGTGTGGGAAGTGCCGACCCTGAGGTCTCACCTCCGGCAGCTGTGGGATCTGAATGAGCCGCTTGAAGTACTGCAGGTTGCTGGAGCGGTAGAAAAGGTCCTTCAGCCTGCAAGGGGCAAGGAATGGTCAGGGATAGATCCTGCCCAACCCAGACACCCTACCCCAAATGTGGGCAGCTCCAGCGCCTCGCCTGGCTCCAGGAGGATGTTACTGGGCCGCCATGCTGTTCTGGAGTGTATGAGGTACTGTCACCAAACCCAGGACATGATGAGCAGAGAGAAGGACCTGAAACCGGAGCAACCTCATCTTGTGGAAGATATCCCTGCCCATGGCAGAGCGGCTGGACAGGATGATCTTCAAAGGTCCCTTCCAACCCTCACCACTCTCTGAGTCTATGAAACCATGAACCACAGCACAACGGCCGCACCGGGGCACACTGAGGTGCAGCCACCTCTCTGTGCTGTCCTCCCCACGGCCAAAGCTGGAAGGGACAGCTCAGAAACACCCCCGTTGTCGAGGAACAGCCCCAGCGGGTTGGGGGCTTCCTGCCTGGAGGCCACACCTGCACCTTCCCCTTCAGCTCTGGCAGCAGCACAGGGCCCTCCGTCAGCATCTCCAGTTCTGGGGTGATGAGCACTGCCCGGCCCTGCCGTCACGGCTGCCCTCCCTTCCAGCCACCCCCCATCCTGGTGGTTATCTGATGATACCCACAGCTGATACTGCCCCAAGTGCTGTGCCCAGGGTGTCAGAGCCCACAGACCATCCTGCCATCTGCTAATAGCCATGCCCAGTGGTTTTGCCATGGGCACTGGTTTGCAGTTTGTGACCTTGAATCGAGCATCACCCTGCAGCAGCTCATGGCCTCTCACAAACACAACACCCACCTCCACCAAACAGCAGCACCCACCCATCCCATGCTGCAACTGGGTGACCGCAACTTGGTTCCAGCTCTCCTCCCACAACCTTTAGCTGCAGCTTTAAAAATCTCTCTTATTGGCACCTTAATCTGGGACAGACGCAGGTGCCAAAAGCTTTTCCTTTTCTATGTCCCCGCAGGGATAGCTTTTCCCATGCAAAAACCACCTCTGCTCCACTCCACCCCATGGCATGCAGGCTCTTGGCAAGACTCTTCATGGACCGCTCCTCAGCTGTGCAACACCCCAAGGTTTCATCCTTTAGCCGCCCCTTTTAATAAATTCCCTTGTGTTTGGGAAACTGTCAATTTTCCTTAAAATTCAACAGAACTGGGGGGAAAATCTCTTTTCCCTGTCCCATCCCTCAGTGTCATGACCAGGGCTTATGCAAACCCTTGCCCGGCAGCAGCATCTCAAACTGCCTTCATGTGCTGCTTGTGTTCTCCCACCCCATTGCTCCTACCAAAACATCCCTCTCATAATGGAGCCACAAGCAAAAACCACTTTTCCATGCAGAAAGCTCCAGAGAAAGCCAACAGGTTGAAGCAGGCTGGATTTCATAGCCTCAAGCAAGACTGACTCCTGCGCCTCCTCCACCTCCATCACTCAGCTCCCGAGGCCCAGTGCAGGGGCTCTGGCATTCCTTCCCCATCCTCCTTCTGCCCCACGAACATCCCTGGAGCATGGCTAGCAGCAGGGACAGCCGGTGCCCCACATCTGTCCCACATCTGGGCACTTACTTTCTGAACTGCTCTAGGAACCGATCCCGGTGGCCCTGCAGTGTATCTGCTGGCAGACCTGGAAGAAGTAGCAAGCAGAAACATCGGTGGGTGTCTCCACGCTGGGAAGGAGTGCAGATCAGAGGAAAGCCCATTGGCACAGCCATGTGGGGATAGGTCTTTCCCAGTGACGACCACCCTCCTCCCGGGTCTGAATACTCTGTCACTGTGTCCTGCTGCAGAAGGGGATCATGTACCCCATCAGACACCCCAGGCAGGGAAAGGTAGCAAGCTGGCATTCAGGCAGCTACCATCACAGTTCAAGGTCCCAAGGGATGTGGGTTTTGCAGCCAGTGCCTGCCCAAAGCCAGGGCAGCTCCTGGTGGACACTGTCCATGCAGCTGAGGGGTGCTCAGCAGGGGAGACTTCTGGGACACCTCCATCCCCCAGCACTTGCCCCTCCTGTTCCCTTGCCCATGTGACTCCCTTCACCCCCCAGAAGGCCTGGGATTGAGCAGGGTGGTGACCCCTGGTGTTCCACTCTGTGTCCTCCCCTGCCCGAGGCACTGGGGACACTCACAGGAATGGAGCTTGAAGAGCAGCTTGACGGTGTAGTCATAGAGGTGGCTGCAGTCCAGGATGACCTGGATGAGCGGGGCCAGGCGGCACTGCCCCGCGGCCGTCACCGACACCGAGCGCGACATGTCCAGGGAACTGAACACTGCAGGGAAGGAGCACGGGATTAGGCCCTGACAGCACCCACAGCACGGGCTGGTGTCATGCTTTGCCAGCCATGTCCACTAATATCACCTGGAGAAAGAGACCCGCTGGCCCTTGCAGACCCAGCCTGCTGCCCACAGCTGTTTGCACGCTTGGTGGGAGGAGAAATTCCCACCCAGGACTCCAACACTGGGAACACTTCAGCCTGGAACTGTGGGCTGGAGGTGCCCAGTCCTGAGCCCCAGACAGCTCCTTGGGCAGAAGTCCTGACCCCCGAGGGCACGCAGCCCCTGTGCTCTGCCAGTCACTGCTGTGCCACTGCATTCTGCCATGTGTGCCGGCAGGGAGATGCTCCAAAACCAGTCGAGCGCAGCTGGTAACACCTCATGTCCTCAATCCTCTGTCCACATCACATCAAAATGCACGTTGTGCTGGGGCTGCAGGATCATAGACTCACAGACTGGTTTGTATTGGAAGGGACCTTGAAAGCTCATCCAGTTCCAACCCCTGCCACGGGCAGGGACACCTTCCACTGGAGCACCTTGCTCCAAGCCCCTGTGTCCAACCTGGCCTTGAACGCTGCCAGGGATGGGGCAGCCACAGCTTCTCTGGGCACCCTGTGCCAGCGCCTCAGCACCCTCACAGGGAAGAGCTTCTGCCTAAGAGCTCATCTCAGTCTCCCCTCTGGCAGGTTAAAGCCATTCCCCTTGGCCTGTCCCTGCAGGCCCTTGTCCAAGCCCCTTTCCAGCTTTCTTGTTTGCCACCTTTAGATATTGGAAGAGTGCTATAGAAGGATGTGCCCCAGGGAACAGAAGTATTTCTGCCAGGGCTGGGGGCACGGGATGCTTGATGTATCCAGTGACCATCTTGATGGTCCAGCCTTATGGGCCTCCCATGAGTTGTGGGATGCTAGCAGGGTGGCTGGAGAGGATGGCAGCTTCTTCTCCCTCTACCCAGCAATTCCCCTCCAATGGGTGGAAAAGTGAGAGATCCCGGGAACACTCTGGGGACAGATGAGCCCCCCTGGAATCAGAACCCTCCCCCTGTACAGCCAAGAGGTGAAGGTGCTGCTCCAGTCCTACTGAAACACAGCTCTGTCCTACCAGCACCCCCAGCCTGGGGCATGCAGCAGTCAAAGGCTTGCCCCAGAATCACTTTAATTTACCCCAAGCTTGACCCTGCTCAAGCACGCAGAGGTGTGTGACAGCCCAACGCTTGAGCCTGGGTGGTTTTACCCCTTGTTTGCTCACACAGAAGAAGGCAAGATGCCTCCGTGCCCACCCCAGGACCCCATGGCACTGCTGGAGACAGCAAGGCACGCAGGGACGTCAACTGAAATCCGTGTGAAGTGCCCAGAGCAGAAACAAGCTCCTCTCCCCAGAGCCTTGCCCCAAAGCAGCTCAGTCCCAGGGCAGTGCGAGAGCTCACCCGTCTGGAAGAGGTTCAGCTCACACTCCAGGTAGTCAAACATCTCCACTGTCAGCTGAAAACTAGGAAGAAAGGGATAAGGATGTTTGGAGAGTGTTCCCACGGCCACCCGTGGCCCTCAGCGTGTGAAGGTTGACACCCCACAGGAACAAGCGGATGTGCTGGCATGGAAGCACCAGCCTTGAGCGGGGCTCCATGCACCTGGGGCAGGGCTGGGGGGAAGGTGCCAGGCCCTGCTCCTGGCTCAGTGCTGCTGGTGAGGTTGGGCAGTGCCATGGCCCTGCCTGCACCCACCCCCCCCACCTCCCACCCTGCCCTTGCCCCACACTCACAAGTTATTGACGTCGTTCTCCCCTGCCTCGTCGAGCTGCCGGTCGGACATCTGGAGATTGCCGGGGAAGCGGGGATTCTGCAGGAGAAACAGGAGCTGGGAACAGGTTTTGGAGGATCACACAGCTCTGAGAACACCAGTGTTGCTGATCCAGCCAGTGGCCTCAGTGAAGGAGATGTGGACAGCTCTTTGGATGCCCAGTGGGAGTGATGCAGGGGGGAAAGGGGCTGACACAAGGTCTGCAGAGCCTTGGGTGACTGCATCATCCCCAGCACCATCCATGGTGCCCATACTCTGCCCAGCAAGAAAATCCAATTCTCCCTGGGTTTAGAAACCTGTGGAGCAGGGAGGAGATGATGTAGTAGATGTAGATGTAGTGTAGTGATAGGACAAGGGGGAACAGCTTTAAACTAACAGAGGGGAGATTTAGATGAGATATGATGAAAGGTACAGGTATACAGTGATTGTGATCCACTAGCATCACATAACATACAACACTGATGGTTGATAATCTTTTTTAATAAATGTTGCAATACTGGGTCAAACATTTGGCTTTAATTTAAACTTCAGGTCATAGAGTTATTTACTTATGAATGCATAGTCTAGATTCAGGACTTGTTGGCTTGCTCAAGGCAAACCAAAGATGTTGATATGGGCAGGTGGTTTGTAATGTCATTTACTCTTGTACAAGAGATCTGCGTAAACATAATCCAAGAGTGCAACACAGGCTGGGATCTGCCTGGCTGTGGGACAGCTCTGTGGAAAGGGACCTGGGGGTGCTGGAGGACACAAGCTCAACAGGAGCACAAGTACACAGTTGTGGCAAAACAAGCCAACAGAATGCTGGGGAACATCAACAAGGGCATCACCAGCAGAGATAGACATGTCATTGTCCCACTCAGTGCTTGTCAGGCCACACCTGGAATACAGTGTTCAGTTTTGGTCCCAGCTATACAAAAACAACGTGGACTGGCTGGACAGGGCCCAGGGAAGAGCCACAAGGATGATAAAAGGACTGGGAAGCCTGCCACATGAGGAAAGCCTGAGAGAACTGGGCTTGTTCAGCCTAGAGAAAAGACGGCTTACGAGAGACCTCATTACCATGTTCCAGTATTTAAAAGGTGGTTAAAAGAAGATGCAGACTCTCTTTACAAGGATTCACATGTTAAAAATGAGGGACAATGGGCACAAGTTACTGCCAGGGATATTGTGACTGGATATAAGGGCAAAATTTTTCACAATGAGAACAATCAGCCACTGGAATAATCTCCCCAGGGAAGCAGTGGATTCCTCCCAGAGGCCTGGAGCCCTGAGACTGCTTGGGCAGAGGGGCTTGTTCTCTGCTACCTTGTCCTGATCTCCTGATAAACCTAAGGTGAGATTTATGGTCTGAGATGAACTGGATGTGCACGAAGAAACCTCAGATCTGTGACGCTGTTGGAAGTTCTGCCGAGAACTCAGGCTGTGCACACTCAGCAGTGCTTAGGTCAAGTTAATCATTACTTCCTCATCATTCTTAAAACTCCAAGCTGACTTGTTGCTTCCACTCTACTTTTCCTGCCCGTATAAAATACTTGTTTCAGAAAGCACCAGAGCACCTTACACTCACACCCTGGTCCCAAGCAAAGGCAGGTTTCTAAACACAGCTACTTCATTTGCAGATCATGGTGAATACGCACCCCATGCGTACACACCAGTTGGAGCAGGTGCTGGTGATCATCCTTCTCTGTGCACCAACATGGACCTCCCCTGGCCCAAATCCCCAGCTTCCCTCCCCGCATCTGTGGTGATGCAGAAAAGCCAGGCTATGCTGCAAGGTTTTCCATGGAGTTTACGCCTTGGTGCTGGCCCTGCCCTGCCAGGCGCCCTTGAGCCCCTGCAGATAGTGCCAAAGCAGTGCTGGTGACAGGCAGAAGCTGTTCCCGCAGCATGGCATGGTACAGCCTCCCCTAAGCCCTCTCCACTCCAGAACCCCATGGCCTCTTCCACCTCTGCCCATCTAGGATACCTGGAAGGGGTCATGCACCCCAAACCTGGGGGAGGTCTCTTACTGCTTCTTGTAGCTCACCAATTCCCAGCCCAGTCTAGATGCGTTCCAAGGAGCCCTGGTCCACCAGGAAGCTTGCCATCCCAAAGTGCTGGCTCTTGGGCCAATTTTAATCCAGGCTAAGGATGGACACTGGCAGTCTGGGGCACGTTTCATGAAGGCAGAAGGATGGCCACGACAGAGAGGACCCATGGGGGAGACAGCACTAGCACAGCTCTGCAAGCCCCTGTCCTGCCCCAGAGCATTGCTGTCACTTTCGCCCCAGCACTCCAGTGCCCAGCCCTTGCTGTGGTCTTGGGTACAGGGATGGGATGCTCACCTTGGTGTGAAACTCCATCTTGGTTCTCAGCAGTTTGAGGTAGATGCTGCAGAGCTGCCCATAGCCCTCACTGAGGTGGCCCTGAGGACACCAAAAAGCTGTTGAGATGCAAGCCAGGCTGTGAAAAAACATTCTCCCCTTGCAGCATGAGTGACCTCTGCCTTATCTCCCTCAAAAACCCAGCCGAAGCCCATCCTCACTGGCATCTTGGCATGTGGGCTGCTGGCTGGCTTGCAGCAAACGTGTTGAAGGGATCTGGTCAGGACCTTCTTATCCCTTTATCTGCAGACTTCAGTGCTGCTTTTGATGGTCAAAGCAAGAGTTTTACTGGGGTTTGCCATAAAATAGGAAGAAGGCATTTGATTTTGGTGGAAGGGGATACTGAACGTAGCCGGCAAACCCACCCCACAGTAGCCATGGGTCAGCCACAGCTCAGCATCTGCTCTGCCCTTAAAGCCTGGCTCCTCCTGGGATACAGCACCCTCCACCCCACCATCCCCCAGCCTGGCTGGGTGCCACATACTGCAGAGGGTCCCCCAGAGTGTCCTCACTCATTGTGGCTGGTGGGATTGGCCACTTACCCACATCCTGCTCATGTCACTCAGCTCATTCTTGTATCTCAGAGAGTCTTTCAGGACCTGGAGGAATGATAGTGACAATAAGCACACAACACAGGCAGAGCACTGGGACAGGGTGTGTGAGACGTGGAGCCAGCAGCTGGGGTCAGGAACGGGAGATCTTGATTCGTTCCCAACCCTGCAGCCTGCCCATGGTGTCACTGCCACAAGCAGGAGGGTGCCTCAGCTTCCCCATCTGCACACGGGCAGGAGGATCCCTGCTGATGGCTCCTGCCCTGATGTCAATGCCCTGCACCAAGCAGTTTGCTCTGGCACTGGAGGGCACTGGTTGGCACCGGGGTTTGTAGCACAGGGGGTTATGGACAGAGTGAGTGGGGAGGGTCCCTGTACCAGTCCCCACCCAGGACTGACCCCCAGGAGGGCACCAACCCCCCAGCATATCCCACCACCCCATACAGCCCTGCCAGGGAGAGGATTTTGGCAGCTGCCGAGCCAAGCACTCACGTTCGAGTGGCCATCCCGGAGGAGCTTGTGGAAGACGTGGCAGAACTTCCAGCAGAGCACGGCATTCCCCGACAGCGGCAGCCGGTTCACCACCGACCAGAAGGTCTGTGCTCCCTTCTCGTGGTGCGTGCCCAAGATGCATGGTGGTGGCTGGTCAAGGAAAAACCCTTCTCCCCTTCAGTGGTGATGAAGAGTTGCCACTCCGAACCCAGCTGTACCCAGAGAGCTGAGGGGAGCCAGGCCACCACGGGGAGCTCATAAACTGCCAAGCCCAGGCACACGCTGTCCCCAAGGGCAGCACTTGCTGTCCCCTCTCCTCCAGTCCTACACCACTGCTCCAGGAGTGCCATGGCATACTCGGGACTGGGGCTCTACCTCTGCAAAGCTTTCTCAACGGCCCTGCTGCGATGCTGGGAATCTGCTTTTTGAGGCAGCATGCTCACAAGCACCACTGGGAATTAAGCATCATCTTCCCATGCAGGCAACCTGCTGTGGGCATCCACCACTCCTCCCCTCCCATGGGATGTGAGCAGCACTGGAAGCACAAGGCTGGGCACCCACCAACAAACAAAGGCTGCAGCAGCAGGAGCAGGGACCCGCTGCCATATTCAAAAAACCCCAACCATCATCAAGAGCCCATTAGGGTCCTACCCTGGCACCCTCAGCACCCCAACACCTCCCCCATGCGCCACCTTGCTGCTGCCTCTTTTCTGGGCAGCCCCGGCCGCTCTCCCACGCTTGCTTGTCTGACAGCCAACTTTGGGAAGGATATTTCTGGCATGTTTCTCCTTGACAGCCACTTCCTGCGCATTAATGGCCTTATTGATGCTGACAGTCTGCAGAAGAGAAGTGGTGGAGGAGGGGGAGGTGATAAGAGTTCAGGCACCCCCTGGTCCCCCCTCACCCCAGCTCTGCCAGCACCTGCTGGTGGCTGGGTCCCATCCAGGTCCCCAGCCCCTGCTCGTGCCAGCTGGATCCTGCCCCTTGCCGGATGCCTTTCTGGGATGTGCTTGGCATCCGCCAGGTTCAGCTGCTGCCAGGACTCATTTACTCAGCATAATAATGATGCAATTCAAGCAGGGACCACAAAGAACCCTCTCCTGCCCTTGGGCTGGTGGATGGACACAAGGAAGGCAAATCCCTCCCCTGCCTCTGGATCACAGACAGTAGCCAGTGGTTCCTACTCTGCTTTCAGGGGGAGCTGAGTGGAGAGGGAGTTTGAGGGAATCCAGCAGTGGGAAGGCGAGGCCACGACACGCTGCAGAGTGGAGCCGGACTGGAGCCCCAGCTGCAGAGTGAGCGGTGCAGGAGATGGACCTTCCCATCCCACTGCCAACAGGTACATCCAGACATGGCACAACCGGTGCCCACCGCCCAGACTGATCCTACCAGGAGCCAGCACAACCCTCCTGCAGGACAGGCAGCCTCCCCCCCAGCACAACCCTGCCCAAGAGCTGCTCTTTTGCTCCCTTGCCAAGAGAGGCAAAAAACTTGCAACACAGTGTAGGTCAGGGTTTGCCGTGAAAGGTTGGACCAGATGATCCTTGAGGTCCCTTCCAATCTGCTATTCTAGGACTCCACGAGATGTTGGGGATTGCGTGAAGCCCACACTGTGGAGCCAGGGCAGAGCCAGCACGCCGTTTAGGTTCCGGAGAGGCAGCGGCAGCACTGGAAGCATTTGCCGGGCAGGATTTTTAACCATACCCCACTGCTGCCCTCGGGGAGCTGTGCTGGCAGTGGGGGGATGCTGCCGGTCACCCTAAGCGAGTGCAGCGATGCCAGTGTGGGGCCACCCACTCTCCACACTCCTCCGTCACCGGCAGCACCAAGCACTTGCCCAGCACCTGTTCTGTGAGGATCCATCCACTGCTGAGGGGAGAAACCATCTGGCTCAGCACTGCCAGAAGTAGCCAGTTACTGATATAAACCAACTAAAGCAGTGGGATTATCCCAGTGCCTCTCCCACTTCACTCATTCTTGCATCCCAACTTGCTGTCCCTTCCGAGGGAGCCCTGCTCTGGTTTCATCCCAACTGACCCTGGTGACTGTGTCAAGTGGATCTGGGGGGGCACATGGGCACCAGCCACAGGCACCCCACGTACAGCGAGGCATGGTCCAAAACACTAGCGTTGAGCCAAGCCCTCCAGCCCAACCAAACCCCCCTGGAAGTCTCTGCCACTGAAGCATCCACCAGACAGAGCAGGAACAATGGGCTGAAGGCTTGAGAGAGCTTCTGATCTCACTTGCAGCTGCCAACTGCACCCCCTTCCAAGGCTGAGCACCCCCTTAACTGAAACGAGGTGCCTGGGTCCTGACATCCCAGTATGAACCAGTCCTGCTGTGGGGACACTGGTGCTTGCTCCAGCTGCACTGGCTGCTCTCAGGGCTGGTCCCCACAGGCCTGTGGTGTTTGCTGCCCCATGCCTAAGGCACTGGCCTCTGCGTCCCTGGGAAAGCTGGAAATGCTCCCAGTTTAAATGCCCTTTCCTGCAGACTTTTATTAGGAAAGCAAGGACATCTTTATCCAGCCAGAGGGCCGAAGTGATGCCCTCAGAGCGGGGAGACACGGCAGGAGGGTGATGGAGACTGGCAGCCCCTGGCTCTGGACAGAGGCCTCCAGGACCCTCCATCCCCAACCCCCTGCTGCATTTGAAAGGTCAAAAAGGAGAAAAGTTCGGGGCTGCCTTGAAAGAGCTGGGCTGGTTCAGCCTGGAGAAGAGAAGGCTCCTTAAGGGGAGACCTTAGAGCAGCTCCAGTGCCTAAAGGGGCTGCAGGAAAGCTGGAGAGGGGCTTTGGGTAACGGCCTGTAGGGACAGGCCAAGGGGAATGGCTTTAACCTGCCAGAGGGGAGACTGAGATGAGCTCTCGGGCAGAAGCTCTTCCCTGTGAGGGTGCTGAGGCGCTGGCACAGGGTGCCCAGAGAAGCTGTGGCTGCCCCATCCCTGGCAGTGTTCAAGGCCAGGTTGGACACAGGGGCTTCAACAAGTGGAAGGGGTCCCTGCCGGTGGCAGGGGTTGGAGCTGGATGAGCTTTAAGGTCCCTTCAACCCAAACCCTTCCCCGACTCCCTGGTAAGTTTCACAAACAAGCTAGCTGACACAACAGAGTAAGAAAAAGAAAGGCTTCTAGCTCTAGTACGTAAGATTCTACGATTCTATGACAGAAAGCTCAGACCTCTTTACCACGGAGAGGGTCTCTGAGGCCAACCCACAGGTGCTGCTTCCCAACACCATCCCGCACCTACAGCTGATGGCTATTTTAATTTAATTACTAGCTCCCACAGCACAAGGGCTGTTTCTAACCTGCCAGGCCACAAGCATGTCCTTGGCTTTGCTGCTGGCCCAGCTCCGCTGTCTTGCTCATGGAGGGATGCCAGCTCCCGGTCCCCACACAGGCACCCAATGGGCTCATCACCGCTTCCCAGCACTGGGAGCATGGCAGGGGGTCACGGGGGTGTGGGGCAGCTGGGCCCTTCCGCCAGCCCCACACCCTCCCCACTGCTGCCGGGAAAGGAAACCCTGGCGTTTCCTCTTGTGCAATGCAGCTGAGGCAGCAGGGCCGGGAGGGAAGCGAGAGGAGAGGCCAGTGGGTCCGTTACTGCAGCAAGCACCAGGAACGCTGCACGCACTTGTGCCACTGCAAGCGTCGCTAGCGTTGAGAACACCTCTGGAGCGGGGCAAGGAAAGGCTCAGGCCATCTGGGGAAGGGGCAGCCAGGCAACAGACTGGGACTATCCTGCCCTGGAGCAGCAGGACCTGCCCGAGCACCTCTTCTTCCCTCTGAAGAACCCCCAGAAGCCCATGGCTTGAAGCACCATCACAGCCCTTCACTGGGGGAACTGAGCACCCTTCCCACAGGTCTCCAGGACTCCCACTGGCAATGAGCATTGCAGACCATGTCCTGTGGGACCCCTGACACAGCCCAGCTCCTCTCCAGGGAGATGCCACACCACAGCAGAGCCATCAACAGCTCTGCACCGGGAGGACGGTGCCTCTTGTTGAGACCACCAATGCAGAGGTGACCACAGGTACCAGACAGGGACTGAGGAGTCCAAAACTGCAGGGAGGGACCTGGACAGAGTGACAGGGACTTTCTGAGCACTGAGAAACACTTCACTCTTTCACATACACATCTCCACACCTTCAACCCCCTGAATCTCCCCAAATTACACTCTCAGCTTCCTCTGAATTGCACATCTCCTGCTGTTCTGAGAGCTCTCCTCAGGAGCTGCACAGCACCTTCCTGCTTCTCCTTTCATTTCCAAAAGGAAATGAGTGTTGATTAAAGAATCCAGAGCTATTGCAAATTATTTGGAGAAACTGAGTAAGTCGCAGTGTAAATCCTCTTAGTAACACTCCCTCATTTCTCCTTAATTCCTTTCTATAAATGGAGAGCTGGGATGGAGCATACCTCTGGAAAACCACCCGCAACCAAGCCCTGCAGATGCAGGGGCTCCAGGGGAAGTGAGCAGCAGCGAGACCTGACTGCAACCAGCCTGGGAAAAAGATCCATGAGCTTAATTAAAATGCAAATCCCAGCACAGCGACGCTGTGCCCTGGCCCTGGAGGGGGGCATAAGCTTTGAACATCCCTCACCAACGGAGGCTAAAAGCAAATCACAGCCCCACCGCCAACACCCATGCGTGGCCTTCGACAGCAGCCACATGGGGCCAGGTCTCACATGGATGCGTTTCTGTATAGACTACACTCAGCATAAACCAACCCTCCTGCTCAGTCTTAAATGCTTCCTTTGAGCAGGGAGTGAGAGGAGATGTTAAAAATACCCTCCCATGATTTAATCTGGGTTATCCGGCTGCACCCACTGCTGGATTCGTGAGTTCAGAAGGAAAGCATTCCTCTCCTGCTGGCCACATGCTGGAACCGCTCCAGGGATGAAGTGCCTTGACCAGGGCTGTGTGAGCACCTTCAGGTGCTGCTGCTCTTCTTGCCTCCTGATCCCACCAGATGAGGAATATTCCACAAATGACATGTCTTGTATTTCCTTTCACTTGGGCCATTAGAACCACCATATTTCCCCAAAGTAATGCTGGTCTCCAGTGTTAGAGACCCCAAAACCTCGCTGCATCCATTGGGTCTGCTCCCAGTGGAGATGGCTTGGGATGTACCTGTCTACAAGGAGATGCTGCTGCCACCAGCTTGGATACCAGCAGGAGGAGGACCAAGGTGTACCAGAAACATCCCTGAATCCCAAGGGACACCAGCATGGGGGTTTTGGGGGCGTTTGGAGACACCTTGCCCTATGGCACATGTGACACCCCAAACCAGTCTCCGGGAAGATAGCCATGGGCTCCACAAGCCATGTTGGGAAAAGATGGCATTGCCATGAGGGTCTTCTGGTAGAGACCTGGCCTGGCGTCACTGACCCCAGTTCTAAGTTGGGAAGATGATGACTTCACATCCATGTCATGCTTGCTCTATCCACCATCAGCACTCTTGGGCACACGGCATAGCCCAGTGTTGGTGTTATGGAGGAGCTCTTCTAGCAGAGGAATTGCTTCCAATGGAGAAACCACTTGGGCCAGGCCAGGGTGGGGTGATGTGAGGTTCAGAGGTCTTCACACACACAAGACGATGACAGCCACTGTCTGGCTCCCACCAAGACTTTCACCTTGTGAGCTGTAGTAATGGTGGAAAGATGAAAATAAGCTGAAGGATACACATTTTGAATGTCTCTGAACAGACCACCCCACCAACTCCTCCTGAGGGCAGCAGGTGACATTAAAGCAGAGGCTGGGATCCAGAGGGTGATGCACCCATGAGCTGCACATGCGAGGGCTTACACCACTTCGCCTGGCCCTTCCAGAGCCTCCAGTGAAA